AGCGGTGAAAGCGTATTCACTTTAATGGCCTCGATTGTTAATTAATCTGAGGATTTACTTAAGTTAAGTATTCAATATTTTCACGGTGGTAATATTACTGGTAAAAACATGTTTATTTGTGTTGAAATTTTTCTTTTGTATGTTTGGTAGATTTTGCGTAGAAAATCAAATATGAAATAGGTATAGTATCCAACACTAGATAAATCCAGAAATGGATTTTAAATTAATATACCTACCTCGTTGTTTACCCGCAACATTATGACGTTAAGGTAGTGTTAACTTTAATTAATGTTTACATATTGATTAGGTAACCATAAATTTTAATAGTGCATCTACTTCGTAGCAGCAGTCCCGGATATTAACAATGTAAAGAATATAATGTAAGTTGCCGGTTTGTCTGTCAATATTTCTTATCAAATGTAAAATAAAAGTTCTTTGAAATCTTTGGCAGCGCCGTAATCCCATTATTAATAATGTCCATTCTCGTACTATTCAAAGAATTTAATGCGATGAACCGAGATTGATTTTTACACTAAAAAACAACAACTTTACGCATAGAGCAACACGGCCGACGTGGCTCTTTACGTCATCTATCAAATAATATAATTTCGAATATGCATACTTCCGCCGTCTCTCCAGCTTCTTTCTTGTCCTCTCCAAACTAAGGTTGTCTGGAAGAGATCGCTCTTAGCGCTTAGAACGCCCATTATTACACTGTATTCTTTAATTATGTACTTCATGTTTTATGTTTTCTGTGGTGTAAAAATAAAGAGCTTTTTGTATTGTACTTTCATAAATCCAAGAATAGAAATAGGATGTCGATAAGCTTTCATGGATGACACGTGCTTCCTCGTTGCCACAACAACGTCCTCGGAATAACAAATTAAAATTTGACAGCTTTCTTAGTAAACCTCAGAAACGTGTCTACAAAATATTGGGCTATCAAATCATCTCACTCATGGCATCTTACGATGTTCCATAACCTCGGCTTCGTATTTTATACAATGTAGTCTTTGCACTACTACGCAGCTCAGGTACAAAATTTTCAAATTTTATCAAAGAACTCTTTTATTCGATACTAGTAGCCGCCCACGATATCGTCCGCGTTAACTTTAGTTTTTTTAGAATCCTACAAGAATGTTTAACATTTATCCGGGAAAAAAGTATTCTATGTCTCAATCCAGGTCATAAACAATATGCGTACAAAATTTCATCCAAATCGTTCAGTAGTTTTTGCGTGATAGAATAACAAACACACAAATATACAAATTTTCACATTATAAATATTTATAGGATGAGATAAGGTGCAATGGCATACAAACACTGATGCAATGTTGTGAATTCAGAAATAGGCAAGTATAACTCCCAAATATCTGCAAAAATAACAGATAGATAGGACATTCACATAATGCATTAAATTACCAAAGATACCATTTTTGTATCGGAAAAATACTTGGATCCGGATCTGCTAATTAGGTAATTTTGTTTTGTAGCAAAGAAATCTTACATAAAACCTAGAATTGCATCATTTTCTCATGCCCTAGAATGAAAAACTGGAATGAGTTATTTATGTATAGTTACAATATTGAAAAATTTACATGTAACTTGGTATGTAAGTAAACATTCATAAAATTCATTAATCCATAGAGTTTTTTAATTGCAATTCTTGCTAATATTTAATTATAATGATTTATAAGTCAATTGAAATTATTGCCATGGTTTCCCATGTTCGATGGATATCTTTAGGGTTAGAAATTGTTTATGATGGGTTTTTTTATTGCAGTACATATTCTGGCACAGTTTTAATAAAAAAATCGGTGTTAAAATGCGGAAATCATAAATAAACATAATAGTGAACAATCGACGGATTACCATTAACAAATGCCACTAATTGAAGTCCTTTTATATTTCCTTGAGAAAATTATTTATTACCCATGCTGGACTAGGTTTAAACAAAAACTGCTTCAACTTCTGCCAAATATTTGGAAAATGTTGAAAACGCCTTTCCCTATGTAGAGGTTAATGGATACTGTAAATAGCATCTTGAACATAACAAGTTTTATTTGAAGTTTATTCGCACCTAAACGATACATTCACACATGTCCAATGTTTGCTTATTGTTCTAAGAATAGATAAAATATACGAAGTTAAAGCTTTTTCTTGAATAGACCGTGTCTGGCTTGCAAATAGCCATTTTGCATTGATTTGAATGTATTACAGGCTGAAATTTTTAGGTGTGAATAGTGTCTAGCTAATATAGATACCTACTGACTGAAGTTTTATACCTTGCGAATCCTGAACTGTAAAAATTACAAAAAAAATAAACATTGTAATTGTTACTGAATTGAATATCTCCGCCTATTGTGGGTCTGCATGTTAGTGAAAGCCAGATATTTATACTTTCAATATGGTATCTACCAATACCATTTGTTATTTAATGATATTTTTGTTATCATCCAGACTACGCCTATTAGTTCCTTTTTATTTCTACTTAAAGACAACATTTTCCGGGGTGTTATTTACTTAAAAACCCTCATGATATGTTCCTATTGTCATTAAAATTGAGCAAGAAGATTAATTGTTGTATTGTTGAAATACTGTTACAGTAATTCTAATTTCTACGCTCTGTTTCCGGTTATTTTCAGATGAAGTTTATAATTTTTCATAAATAACTTAATATTACTTTAAAGGTTCCGTATTTTCAAACTGCATATGGCCTACAAATGCGGAGGTTAAGCAACTTTCGAACTGCCAGTAGTTGGAATAGCGACCAAGAATTTATTATCTTGACTCCTCTGTTTCCGTTGTAGGTCCAGTCCTGGCTGATTTAACGGCGGTTTATATACTACTACCTTTTGCCCGCGACTTCGTCCGCGTGGAATTAGTGATTTAGGTATTATAGTTATATATTTGTTTCTTAGGTTTTCACGCACTGCACTCATTAAAAAAAACTAGTTTTTACGGGTTAATGCACGAAACTTTATTTATTTATGACGTTTCGTCGTTCTTTTTTATCGTTATATATCGTTCGTTATTATAGTTATAGCTCATTTTCTCACCCACTCTGCAGTTTCATCAATCTGCTTAGGTACTTTTTAAATAACAAAAGGCAGGTAGGTTGTTTTGATTTAAAAATGCGAGTAAAAATTAATTTTTCATCATCATGAACCTTTTGATGTTCCCAATGCTACGGCTGCGGCACGGGTCTTCTCAGTAGATGTGATAGGATTGGGACCTGAGTCACGTAACGTGACCCACCACGCAGGCCAAAGATAAAGTATTGTGCCTTATATTCTGTGATTTATTTACTTACCTACCTACGCGATCAAATCTTTTTCGATCAAAAGTTTTTTGAATAGACAGGAACTTATATTCTGTGTTAAGATTCAAATTGTCCAGGCGACCATTATAAGGTACATTAGGTAGTCAATGAGAAGGCAGTGTGTCACTGTAGCGTAGTGTCAGGTATCACTAGCTAGATGTGTGTGAGTGCAGCGGAGTGTGGTTGACCGCACATCTCGGGTTCGATTCTCTACAGACGCACGGCCCGTTGCGGCTTCTTGTCATTATTATAAACAACTTTATTTATAGCATTCGATTCGATTTGTATGGGTTTCGTTCGTATTGTATTATATATGTACCTATAGGTAAGAGCGGGAGGAGCCGCTGCGAGTTTTAAATTAATTACATCCGCTTAACTTTGAGGCTACTCAATTAGCTATAATTTAAATACAAAATTGCTGGACGTTCATGATATTGTCTTTAATTTGCCTTATTCCAAATGTTCTTTAAAAAAAATAAAATGTGGAATGTTATTGAGTGTATAAGCGGTTGAAAAATTAAAAAAAAAAAAAATCCGACTGTCTAAACTTCGTGCTTTGAACACAATATTTATCCCATGTAAATGTTTACAACAAATAACTGTAGAGACTGTTGGCAGTCTGAGGTCTTAGAAATTCTCATAAAATATTGACACCGAGTGCACAACTGTTTGCATACCAAACATAAAACATATTCACGTACCTAAGTACATAATATTCACTGAGTTTGCTCGATAAAAGAGATTCTTGGAGTTCTCTGGACTGTCACTAAGGCTTTTAATTATTTGAGTTAGTACCTACTCACCTACTTACATGCAATAAAAGAAATATATGTATTTATTACAAAGGCGTTTTATTTATATTTAAGAGTGTGAGAAAATAAGAAGAACTCTTAGCTCATAATTTTATTTAATTACTAACGAGTGCCCGCTAATTAGCCTGTACGGGAAAAAATGGTTTTTCATACAAACTTCTACTACGTTTTCTGGGTTAAAAATAGTAATATTTCGTTTCCCAGTCCTCGTAGCATGAGCACCACGATTTACATTATATCACGTTTTTTAACGCGCCCAACTGTCAAACTGCATAATAATTCGACAATTGAGCGTGATAAAAACGCGTTATGTATATGTGTATGTATGTCATGCTAGGCAGGCAAGACTCAAAATATCTCTATACCAACTTTCATATAAGTTAGTTTAGTTGTTAAAGCTTGAAGAGGTAAAAAACAGACACTTTTTATTTTTTTGTTATAAGGGTGGCAAACCAGCGTATGGCACGCCTGATGGAAAGCGGCCACCATAACCATATTAGATGCTTGCGATATCAAAAATACCGCACGCATCGTTGCCTACCCAGACCCAATCCTTAACTCCGTAGAGCCCTGGAACCTTACCTACCGACAGAAACACAAAACCACCATAAGGTAGTGTTATTTTACTGTGTTCTTCTGTAAGGTTTAATTACTTTCCCAGACGGGCGCTCCAATCCGAACGGAAAGTCCGCTTTGCCCTACCTCACTGAAGGGTAGAAGTTTTAACATGATTTAGATGCTATATAGACTGTGTTTTACGAGCATGTAATAGGCAGGAGTTAATTATTATATAAGAATTTCGTTAAAAAGCGACTATTAGTTATAAATCGGCGTGAATTTTATTTCAGATTATTTGTTTGTTTCAGATAGATGACTGTTTATAGCAAATTGATAAGAAAAGTGGAATAACAATAAGGTAAGAAGTTGTAAATTATTTTAGTTTATTTTTTATTGCACTTTCTGTTTCCCTCTAAGATTAGAATCTCAGACACCACCTGGGTTGGTTGGAAGACATCTCTTTTAGAAATAAGACCACCTTTGATAACTATGTATTTGATTTTGTTTTTAACTATAATAAGTAAATTGCTTTATTTTAAATAATATTTACTCATCTAGTAAAAAAAAAATAAGATTGATAAAAGCTAAATTAAAAACATGTTGCATCAGTTTATTTTAAAAAGTCGTGAAAAAGAAAGTTTTGTCGTATGACTAGATTTCAGCCTGCGGCTTTGCTCGTAGGGGTTTACATCCTTCATCCCCCGTTTTAACCTCTTAGGGGCTGAAGTTAAAAATATCTGAACGAAAAATAAAACTTTTTTAAAATGTAACAGTAAATATTTATTGTTAAATATTTTTACATTTCTAACTTCGAAATTCCAAATTTCATACCAACATTTATCTTGTATTATTGTTACTCATTCTAAAAAAATATGTTTTTTTTAAAACACACGCCAATTAACCTAGCCCCAAAGTAAGTACTGTAATGCTTGTGTTATGGGATGCTAGGGTACACTGCCCCCACCGGGATTCGAACCCGGGACCTCTCGAGTCGGCGACACCATGAAACCCGGCGTACAAACCACTCTTCCACGGAGCTCGTCGTATAAGTAGTAATATTTTGTTGTCAATGGTATACTCATAAAATACAATTTCTCAAGTTTCAAACTGAAGTTTCGCACAAAGTTTCTTCCCTATATCTAAACCCCACAGGATACAAATACCCAAACAGAAATAGAAAAGTAAACTTTTATTGTTTAGCATAAGCTTATCTAACTGTTAAATTGCTGTTTCAAATTGACAAATTTTCATAGAAACTTTCCGAACCCATTCCAAACTATATTCTTTTTTTTATAGATAGGTCCGACAAATGACTCCACCCCACCTGATGTTAAGTGATGGTGAAGTCCAGACGTGAAGATAGCTGGTAAAGCAGTTCTACCTGCCACATCAGCCATCCTCACCTTGCCGGCCTGCATGTTGCTTCTTCACGCCTCTTTTATAGGATCCCAGTATGTAAGAAGGAGGGAACACGTGAGCAGAGCATTCCATTTACGGATAGTGCGACAAAGAAATGAGTCACCAAATTTCTTTGTACGCGTTGGAATTGTGGTCACAGTTAGATGGTGACACCGAAGGGCTGCGCGCTTCTCTTACCCACTTATTAATAAACGAGGAATAAGCTTAGATTAGTTGCACCGTGTTTTGTTAATATCACTCAAATACGATTTGTCGTTCATTGAACAGAGACAAAACATGAAATAATTAATCAGATCTTATTCTTCGTTTATTGAAAAGGGGGTTAGGGGGTGAAGTTTTGTAAAACATTTCTTGAGGAATGCCTACGTAATAATAACTATATCTGCGTGCCAAATAATACCGCCATGTGTTGATAGATCAGACAGTCAGTAACGGTTGCATTTTATATATAGGTACTTTTGTTGAAGGTGACAGAATGTTGAAGATTTATTTTTTTCTGGATAATATTTGTTGCCAACATATGTTTTCTCTGTATAAATACAACGATCCACCCCTTTTCTTTGAGTGTGTATGCTGTATGTCGCAGATGACCTTTATAGAGTCACCGGGTTTGGAAACGGCGAGATCCTAAGGGGACCTCAAGCCGAGAATTGGCGAGTGCCTCTAGAGGTATTCCAGGCGGATGGCATCTTCCCACGGGGAAATCTCCGCTCCGTCTGGAGCCTCTAGACTATTCGAACCTGAGAACGATCCATCCTGCTCTACGCGGGCGCAATAAACTACTGAGAAATTGAGATAGTTTGAGATTTCAATACAAAACCACCACCCTGATTTCTTTATTTCTAGGTTGGTTTCTAGTGAACTTTCAAATATTTTTTTATATATAAACCTTGTTTAACTTCTTTATTTTGTAATTAAGAACACAAACAAAAATACTTTATCGGTTTATTATACTTATATATATGTTTTTATAAATAATGCATGTACACGTACTCATTTATTTCAAAGTTTTGATTTTTAGTTTAAGTTCGGGAAGGCATCTGAAATACATATTAAGTACCTACCTTATAATTGCATGTCAAATAGATATTTTTAAAATTGTTCAGTTCATGGTCCAGTATTATTATTGAGCTTTTATTATATTCTCGAGAAAGTCGTTAAATGATGCAGTCTACGTTTTTCTTTTACTACAGGTGCAACACGGAAACACATCAGCAGAATTTCGACACAATTATTGCGAATTACAGAGTTAAATACATAAAGAAAGAACGGAGTACTTTGGATAAACAAGCATTGGAAAGTTGGAAGTTTGTTTAATTTTTTCAGACTTTTCCATATATTTTTTCAAGGATAACAAAATACTCATATTTTCACCATAGGTGCTTCGAAAGATAAAACGAATGATTGCTCAGTTATGACGTACGAATATTACCCTTATATCTAACCTTTACGATGTAAATATATTGTTGCAGGTATTATTGATAAAATTTTCGTATAAAACATAACCTTAACTACAACAACGGTCTTCAAGTGTCCATTTTCAGCTTCGCATTAAGAAAATGCAATGTAGAGCATGCATGCCAAATTCTGTTTACCCAGACACTGCATAAAGCGAACGCCTGGCCAATATTTGTGTCAGTCAATTTTAGAAGCAATTTATCGTTTTGTGCTAAATTTTCAAGCAGGATTATTACGTCACTATTGTAAGTAGCATAATAAAGCTATGCAGTTATCCTACTGATCTCTTTATAAATATTTAACTCGTTTCGTATTTATTTCTCACTGAGTAATCACTCCCGTACTTTTCCATGCGAAAATCGTTAACCCCTAAGTGATAAGGAGTGAGAGTGTCGCCTAACATGGACGCCTCGTTCTTCTTACGACACATAAAGATAAAGTTGAAAATACGCCAGAATTCATAAACGATAGCTGTGTGTTCATTTGAAGTGCAACACAATTATATTGTTAAACAATAGCGTTATCGAGTGAATGTCTCTATGGCCGTTTAGGTGTGGCGGAAATGTTGGGTGGACAGGACAAAGATATATCAAAATGAATCGTATATTGTTAACGTTTACATGTTGGGAAAAAAGAATGCGTCTCAGTGCTCTCGTCTTCTCTAAAACGAACGATTTTTTAGCGGTCGAAAAGACCACTTCAGGGTTTGCACCTGTTTGCACCACGCCTTATGACCACACGGTGACGTCACAAGAAGGCAATGCAATGTTGCTACGGTCATATCCGATGTCCATGAAAATGTTGAGGTGGTCATGGATTTTATGGAGTATGGATTGGATTTTTATCGCGCATGATTTCAAGAACGCAACAATGTACACTGGATAGACGTTCAGCACGCTACGGAATCACGTGGTTCACGTGACTTGATTTAAATGTATGGATATTTCGTAACTAGGCTACAATATTGCGGACTCCGTGTATGTATTATAAGTACTATTCAATTGTAATTACAACAATGACAGATTTAATTCTTTAACTAACAATCACACATGTGATTGTAAACAGTTAATAGCTCAGTCACCTGTCAATTGTGATTCCTCCATATCACAACATGTAACTATTAGTTCCCCACAGCAGCCATCAAAGGAATGCTTGACTTCGGTGGAAACAATTCACTCGGACAACTTAGTTTTAGATAATAAATATAAAAAAATCATATTATTTAGTGATGAAATTGGCAAGGGCATGGGCCCTCTTTTATCTAAAATGGGAAATTCAATTATCAATCACTGTATGCCTAATGTTTCTTATAAGGATATCTTAGGAAATGCAATCAAACAGAATTATAGTAAATGCACTACTTTGTTATTTTTTGTGGGAAATAGAGGCAATTTGAACAAAAAATCATTGATTCAATATGTCAATGACCTGAGCTCATTAAATGTTGAAAAAATTATATTGTTTACATTGCCCTATTGTAGAAGTCTGCCAAAGGAGGAAAATATCTTAAGATATAAATTAAATATGCTTTTGTTCACAATGTGTAAAAGTGAAAAATTTCATATTATTGACACTAACAATTATGTTAGAAATTTATATTTGACCAAAGATAAATATTATCTTTCTAATTATTATAAAAGACAGATAGCTAAGTCGCTATCATATTATTTTTATATAACAGCCAAAAACTTGGCTAAACAAATTGCTTTTATTGAGCAATGTTCCATTGACTTGACAGTCAGTAATTCTTCTACTGACAAATTACAAAATAATAACTATTGTTTAAATTAAATAATGAGACAACAGACAACTCGTCTTGCTTAATAATAAATAATTATTGTAATAACTTGCATAAAAATATTAATTTAATTAAGAAAAATCCCAAACAATTAAAAGAAAATGTAAACTTGATCAACCTGATGCATATAAATATTCAAGGAATGATGGGTAAGGACTTAGAAATTGAATTATTTTTGAATTGTAACAATATAGATATATTTTGTATCACAGAGCATTGGCTTAAAAGTCATCAATTCATCTTTAATTTTAATAATCATCAGGTTGGTAGTTCGTTCAGTCGAGAAGATGCGATTCGCGGTGGCTCTTTAATTTTATTAAATAAGGCACTTAAATTTAAGGAACGTAAAGATATTGTGAGCCTCTCGGTTGAGCGAACAATAGAGATTGCCTGTGTGGAACTGGACCAGCTTGTTGTATTGAGTGTATACAGACCTCCTTCAGCATTGTATGATTGTTTTGAAACTATTATGGATGAAGCTTTAGAAAAAATTGTCAACACTGGTAAACGATTAATTGTTTGTGGTGACTTTAATATTAATCTATTAGAAACCTCTAATTTGAGTATTAAATTAAGAAATCTATTTCAATCATATAATCTTGAAAACTTGTTCATGGAGCCTACTAGAATAACTGCCACTTCGGCCACTTGTATTGACAATATTTGTACGGATATAATACCAC